GTTCTCGGAGAGTGGGCGGCATAGAAATACGAAAAATAAATAAATAAATAAATAAATAAATAAATAAATAAATAAAAATAAATAAATAACCCAGTTAAAAAGCCAAGTCAACCAAGACTTACTTTTCCTATTCGATGGCTTCCTCTCTTTAGCCTCAACCCTAAATTCTCCCTCATACCTAAAACAGGGTCCTTTACCTGTTCCTGAACTGAAAGATCCCAGTACCTTACTTCTGAAAATCCACCTTGCCTTTGAACCGAGTGCCAAAGAAGCTAGCCTCATAAGCAATCGCTTCCTAGCCAGAATAATTTGTATGAGGTCTTTCATGTCTAGCGGCGGGCAGCTGACTTAGGAGCTGCACTTGTGGTGTGGGAAGCTCAGTTTTAGCTGAAGGAAAGCAACCCACCCACCCTTTCTGCTCTTGACTTCCATCAGCTCAGAGACCCCCCTCCTGGAAGGGAGGAGAGATTAACTCTTCCTCTGAACTTTCAGGTGGGAAACAGCCGAGTTAATAGGTGGCCTGGAGGCTCAAAGGAAGACCGAAGGAATAAGCATGATATGTTGCTACGTTAAGACCATAGAGCTGATTTGGGAAGTCAATGGGGGTCTTGAAAATGCTTTTTGGTGCTTTTCCGTTCTTTTCAGTTGGTTGGCTATTTTTTTTTTAATTTCATTGCACTTCCGTCCCCGTTTTGCTTTGAATTGGAAAAAATCACCCCTTGGCATATGACGTGCGGAAGGTAGTTATTTCAAGCAAGGTGTGTTACAGACATCTGAACTGCAAGTAAGGTGTCATCTCCTTTCAGTTGGCTGGTGCTGTTAGCACTGGTGAGATTTCCATGTCTCACTTCTTCATTTATTACCCCCACCCCAACCCCAACTCGAAAAGTTTGGAGCCTGGCATTTTCATGAAGAGCAAAGCATGATCCAGGATCAAGTTTCTGTCCTAGATCATTCCATTGCTGATCTCTTCCTGATTCACAGTTTAGTAACTTTAATTTGGGGAAATCGCAACTTTCGTTGTGAAGTTTCACACTGTTTGAGAATCAGAAGTGTGGATATGCAATAGCGCCTTTTTTCAATTGGAACCATCTTCCAAATCAGGAATTCTCAGGAGGTGAAGAAGGAAGAGGAGGAAGAGGAGGAGGTGAGGAAGAGAGAGGGAGCGATGAGAAGGAAGAGGGAGAGAAGGAAGAGGAGAAGGAGGTGGAAGGAGGAGGAGGAGGTCTGAAGGAGGAAGAGGAAGGAAGAGGAGGAGGAGAGAAGAAAAGAGGAGGTGAGGAGGAGGAAGGAGGAGGAGGGGAAGGAGGAAGGAGGAGAAGGAGGAGAGGGAGGAGGAGGAGGGGGAGGAGGAGGAGGAGGGTGAAGGAGGAAGAAGGAGGAAGAGTGAAGAAGGAAGAGGAGGGAGGAAGAGGAGGAGGAGAGAGGAAAGAATAGGAGAGAGGAAGGGGGAAGAGGAGTAGGAGGAAGAGGAGGAGAAGGAGGAAGGAGGAAGAGGAGGAAGGAGGATTAAGAGGAGAGAGGAGGAGGAAGAGGGGAGGAGAGGAGGAGAGAAGAGAGGAGGAGGAGAAGGAGAGGAGGATGAATGAGGAAAGGAAGGAGAAGGAGGAGGAGGAAGAGGAGGAAGAGGAGGAGGAGAGGAGGAGGAGGAGGAGGAGAGGAGGGAGGGAGAGGAGAGAGGGAGGAGGAGAGGAGAGGAGGAGGAGGAGGAAGGAAGGGAGGGAAAGAGGAGAAAGAGGAAGAGGAGAAGAGGAGGAGGGAGGAGGAGGAGGAGGAGAGAAGGAGGGAAGAAGAGAAGGAGGAAGGAGGAGAAGGGGTGAGAAGAAGGAGAGGAGGTGAAGAAAGAAGAGGAGGAGAAGGAATGAGGGAGAGAGGGAAGAGAAAGAAGAGGAGAGGAAGGAGAGGAGGAGGAGATGAAGGAAAGAAGAGGAGGAGCTGAAGAAGAGGAGGAGGATGAAGAAGAAGGAGGAGGAGGAGGAGAGAAGAGAGGCTGAGGAAGAAGAGGAGTGAGGAGGTAGTCCTCTGAGGCCTTAGGTCCCTCCAGAAGAGGAGACCAGCCTTCCTCTTCTCCGGAGGAGCTCTAGAGGCTTGGAGGAGATAAGCTCAGCATGCCAAAACCACAGGACCCCAACCCCACCCCCCCCCAAAGACCTCCAAAATACAAATGAATAACAAGAACTTTTAACAAACCAATGAATAGAATATAAAATTTGATTGGAAGCAAAGTTGGGTGAATAACACACCCCCTCAATAGAATTGTTTTTCTTCTCCTTATTTCACCAATGGTTCGAGAAATTTTTTTATTTTGGTTTGCAAGAAAAAAGGAAGAGGAGGAGGATAATTAAGAAAGTTATAATAAATACATTAGGATGCATTTTAACCCTTTAAATAAATTTCTGAAATAAATAGCTTGCTTTGTTGGCAGAAGATATGAGTATGGTTAACAAAACAAAAATATGTACAACAAAGAAGGAAGTATACAGTCAGCCATTATTATATTGTATACAAGGTCTTGCAAAAAAACACAAAACTTGAGGGAACAGGCTAGTCAGAACGCCTTCTGTTCGAGATCCTAGGAAGAAGCTTCCCAAAAACAAAGAAAGAAAGAAAAATATATCACTTATAGCAGAAGCCATAAATGCTTGGGATAGGGGCCTATAAACTGGACAGGCCAGAGGTTGATAGCGTCAAATGTTTATGAAAAAAACAAAGAAAATAGGCAACAAACAGATATTCAAACCATTATTATTTTGGCCAAACTGTGACAGGTGACTGTGGACTCAAACAATGCCCATGATTTAACCATATTTAGCCAATGGTATCTACGCAGTGGTGGGATTCAGCCAGTTCGCACCTATTCGGACGAGAAACCGGTAGTTAACCTTCCAAGCAGTTCGGAGAACTGGTTGTTGGAAGAAATCTTATTTTTTTTTTTTTTCCACTTTACAGAGCTAATCCTGTAAGGAAGGCAGGAAGGAAATGTTCTGGTGTTGTTTCTAGCCTAATCTTACAGAAACTTAACAGAAACTGCCTCTCTGGTTAACCCTTATTACATTGTAACAGCTAAGATGAAGCGCCCATCAACGTGAGTGATCTTGAGTTGGCCACGCCCACACGGTCACATGACCACCAAGCCACGCCCACCCAGCTGTCATTAGGGCAGAGAACCAGTTGTTAAATTATTTGAATCCCACTACTGTATCTAGATTCCCATGAAGTAAGTCTCCACATGACAAAAAGAGAAGAGCACTGAATTTCCTTGCTTATCTTAACAAAACTCCTGGTTTACCTTTCACAAAAAAAAAGGCATTTTCGGATGGATGTTTTTACTGTTTTGATTTTCAGAAAGGGGGACCGTTTTCACAATAACCTCAAATCAGTAGCAGCATCATTCTTCTAGACTTGGGAAGCTGCCCCTCCCCCGTCTTGATTCGCCAACACTGGCCTAGACTAGGGGTGGGTTCTACTTACCTTTACTACCGATTTGCAGCGGGGCCACGCGTGCGCGTTCGCTTTGCTGGCGCATATGTGCTCTTCCGCACATGCGCAGAAGCATTTTTGTTGACATCAGGGTTGGTGGGTGGAGCCTCCTGCCAGTTTTACTACCGGTTCTATAGAACTTGTGCGAACCGGGGGCAACCCACCACTGGCGTAGACACAGTGCAAAGCTTTGGGGGATTGTGCGTTACGCTGGTCTCCCTAAACGAGTGGGATCGAGGTGCTCAGGTAAGACAAGGGGCAGATTCCAGAACACCTCAAACCAGATGGTGCAGCTAAAAGACGTTCCTGTTCCTGCCTTCCTAAAATGAGAAGCTACATTTTCATTGAAAATGAAATTCTCCGTGGCCAGGCAAAAGGGCATGAGCTTTCCTTCCCTTGTACGTTTCCATTTGTGCTTCAAATAGAAAAAATAATAATAAATGGGTCACGGATGCCAGGTTTAAAAATGTCGTTACTTTTCTTTGGGGCTTGATTCTGTAACACCCCAAAATAGAACCTCTCTGTGCTGGGAGCCAGGAAAGGGTGGGAGGAAAACACCTCAGTTTCAGAAGTGGCATCTGCAGGTAGGGCCTCAGGAGGACCTGGTTAGTTGCAGTCTCTAAAAGGGGTTGGAAGAAGCAGAATTCGGTTGTCCAGAATCCCTCAAGTTAAATCAAGCTGCAAATCAAAGGACCGTAATTGTGCAAGACACTCTACACACCGTGATGGTGAACCTCTGGCACGCAGAGCTCTCTCTGTGGGCATGCATGCCATCGCCAGCTGGTCTTTGCAGGCTGTTTTCAGGCTGTTTTCAGTCAGGCTGTTTTGGGGGGCATTTTCAGGCTGGTTTGTGAGCCATTTTCTGGCTTTTTCAGCCTGAAAAATGGCCTGAAAAACAGCCCGGAAACAGCCCCCAAAAAATGGCCTGAAAACGGCCCAAAGAACGGCCTAATAATGACCCAAAAGATGGCCTGAAAATGGCCCCCCCAAAAAAGGCATGTGCGCGCCTGCCAGTTGGTCTTCAGGTTTCTGGCGCATTCCTGTTTGGGCACTCGGTGCCGAAAAAGTTCGTCATCACTGCTCTACACTGTCCTTCTGCCATCCTTCCAAAACTACTTAACTTCCCTGTATAACCAGTGAAAACATCCATGTCATCTTTCTCCTTCTCTGGAAAACCTCACCTTGCTACAACCTCACCTAGTTTTGCAGAAACACCTGTTCCTACAGCATTTTTAACGCTTCAGTCGGCCAGCCTCTTCCCAACTGCAAACTGTGCACAGCAGATGGAAGGGTGGAATGCAAGGGAGACAGCAATGGTGGGCCGACCAAAAAAAAAAAGAAAAAGAAAGAAAACTGGGTTTCCCAATGGCCTGATCCTCAAGATGCCATGTTTTGGAGGCAATACCTCTTTCTGGAACCCCGACAGATGAGTCAACTCATAAGGCATTCTGGAGGTCACGCTCCTGAGCCAATCCTTACCCAATTGCATCTTCCCTCCCACCCACCCCTTCCACACCCAATCTGATGTCCAAGATGACTAGTGCATGCCTCCATCTGTCCTTGGCTAGGACCGAAACGTGGGAGGCCTTAAAATGCTCAGCTTGGACACAGAGACCCGTGGCTTCCTCCATTCCAGAAACGGTGGCTAACCTCCCAGGAGAACCTCAACAGCTAAACCAGCAATGTTGGTTCTCTGCTTTGTTCTCGGCCAGAGGCTCTCAAGAGAGGGGAGTTGAAAGAAGGAGGTCAACGAGAACAGCCATTTCCCTACCCCTTCCCAAGAGGAGTCATACTGGTTTGTCCAAAGTTTTGGGGAGAGCGAGACCACTAGGTGGGGAGATCTTCCTGCAAACGGTATTGGTGTGGTTCTGGCAGCGGCAGCCTGGCCGTTTGACGGCATCATAGCCCTTCTGGCAGAGTTTTGAGGCAACCAAAGGTAGGTAGATAGCAGCATAGGCAGGGCATGAGCAAGAGAGAGCAAGCCCATGGCCACCCAACGGGCGCAGCAAGAGCCAGGACCACAGGAGCAGGGGGTCATCTGCACAGGTGTCCTCGTCGTCTGAGGAACAGTGGTAAAAGATGCCCTTGACACAGCAGAGGCAAGTCCCATAGTCAATGAGGTTCTCCGGCGAGCAGAGGCAACGCTGGTTGCAAAGCCAACAGGAGGGCAAGGTGCGGGCAGTCGCGCACTGGGCACATTTGCAATGACCGCATTCTTCGCAGATGAAGAGATGGCCTGGGTGAAGGGTGGGAGATTTCTCCGGGGTCCCCTTCAGCAGCTCTTCGGCCTTCAGGTCGCTTGCCCGTGGCTGCGTCCGATGAGTGAGTGTCCAGAGTGCGATGGCGTGATGGCCCTGAGGAGGTGCTGCTCCGAAGTGGCAGTGCTGTGGGAGATGGAGCTGGCTGTGCTGGAATGGCTCAGGGGCTGTTGGAGCGGTAGCGTCTGATGTGGTTGGCTGGAGTGAAATTCCTGGAAGACAGAGGACACCAGGCGTTCCTGAGTCATCTCCACTTTGTGGACTGGCGGCGTCTGGGACACAGCAAGCACAGAAACGGCCTGTTTGCAGGCAGGTCTCTCCACATAGTCATTGGTGGCATGGGTGGCACGGATCTGGCTGATGGAAAGGACTTGCTGGAACTCTTCCGGCATGGAGTCCATGACTTCTTCAGGGCTGTGCTCAGTGGTGCTGGATGCCAGAGGCATTCTGGGAGAGCAGAAAGGCTGGGATCAACAGGGAACATCAGAAGGTCCTACAGGGGAAAGGAGAAGGAGAGAGAAGGAGAAGGAGGAGAAGGAGAAGGAGAAGGAGAAGGAGGAGAAGGAGAAGGAGAAGGAGAAGGAGAAGGAGAAGAGAAGGAGAAGGAGAAGGAGAAGAGAAGGAGAAGGAGAAGGAAAAGGAGAAGGAGAAGGAGAAGGAGAAGGAGAAAAAGATATGAACAACAGCAGCGTTAATCCCAAGAATGAACAATATCATCAAGGGTGGGGGGGAATCCCTGCAGCGCTACCCAAAATCATACAGCTTCTGAAAACACCCATCCGTCTTCACTCAAAGGACACCTATATATCTTGACATTCCAGATACACAATTCTATATCCTGGAGCAAGCTTTCAACCAAGTTTTGCAGATACAATCCAGCTAGAGAAGGTTCTTTATTGCAAGACAAGCTATAAATCATATATAAAGAGAAGATCTGCCCAACTGAAGATCCCAGAAATCAACTGAAATAGAAAAGCCCAGTGGTGAAATCCAATTTTTTTTACTCTCTCAGGGATCAGGTAAAAAAACGAATCATTTCTGGGACAATGGATTGGACACAATCCATTGACTGCTCTCAATTTCTTAGAGAAAGGCCTGATTTCTATACTATAGTCTTCCCAACCTGGTGCCCACTAGAGATTTTCTTTTTTAGATGACAACCGTCCATTTGAGCTCTGGGGTTCCACCACCGCTGGAGGCTGCCAGGTTAGGAAAGGAGCCAACGGGGAGAACGTGATGTCCAAGCCAACAAAATTGCAGAAGAGCTGGTGCTGCCTTGAGCAGCAAACCGCTGACGGGAAGAGGCACTGTGGTGGGAAGATTGATTTTCATTGGTCGGGTTGACCTTGAAGACGAGTGGAAGATCACGACCGCCTCCCTTTGATTGCTAAAAGCCAAAGCTAATTTGGGTGTTCCACCCCATCAAAGGGAAGATAAAAGAATGACAAGCAGCTTAAGATTCATTGAAAATATTCTTTTTTGGGTTCAAACAAAAAGGAAGGGCGGGAGGAAAAAAAAGAAGAAGAAGATGCAAATCCTAATTTGAGTTGGGCCAGTACGCAATGCACAGAAGAGTTTCTTCTGCATCACGGGTGCATAACATCTGTCAACATAAGAACTGTTCCCAGCTCTGCATGGTATTTTAGAGTAGAACAAAATAACAAGACTTGGAAGGGCCCTTGAAGGTCTTCTAGTCCAACTCTCTTCAGAAGCAGAAGACCCTGTACCAGTGATGGCTAACCTTTTTGCCATCACGTGCTAAAAGTGGGGGGAACAGGGGGGTCACACACGCACGTGCCCACACCCATAATTCCATGCACCCCTGCCCCCCCCCGCAGTCCCCTTGCTTTTTGGCAGGCAATGGCATGGTGGGCCCTATAGGGGCCATTTTTGCCCTCCCCGGGCTCCAGAGCCTTTCTTGAAGCCTGGGGAACAGCCTTCCGCATCCCCAACCCCCCCGGAAGGAACAGAGTGATGGGAATGAGAAAATGAAAGGAAATGGGGAAGGGAGAAAGGGAATGAGGGAGAAAGGAAGACAGGAAGAAAGAAAGAAAGAAGATGATAGTAATGAGAAGGGAATGAGAAAGGGAGGGAGGGAATGAGGAAGAAAGGAAGGCAGGAAGGAAGGGAGGAAGGGAGGGAGGAAGGAAACTGCAAGCCCTCTCTAAGCAGTTTTACAGTCAGCCTATTGCCCCCAACAATCTGGTCCTCATTTTACCCACCTCAGAAGGATGGGTCAACCTTGAGCCGATCAGGCTCAAACTGCTGGCAGTGGGCAGAGTTAGCCTGCAACACTGTATATTCTAACCACAAAGAAGGAAGGAAGAAAGGAAGGAAGGAAGGAAGGAAGGAAGGAAGGAAGGAAGGAAGGAAGGAAGGAAGGAAGGACAACAGCACTTAGACTTATATATTGCTTCACAGTGCTTTACAGACCTCTCTAAGCGGTTTAGAGAGTCAGCCTATTGCCCCCAACAATCTGGTCCTCATTTTACCCACTTCGGAAGGATGGAAGGCTGAGTCAACTGAGTCAAAATCAATGGAGGAAGCCAGATTAAAAACAACCACCAAAAAAAAAAGGGCTGTAAAATCAGGCGTAACTCACTTAAGGACTGCATCCCTTAGTGATAGATGCTCTGGTTCCAAGTGGAGGACTACCTATCACTCAGAGCAGTAAAGCAGACGGTGGAAGAAGGACTGTCTTGGCATTATGCATACACATTATGCGTCCCAATATCTACAATGGCAAAAGCATCGGTCCAAGTATTCTCCCATTTCATCCCTCACTTTTGGTAAGCCTCAGACATCCTCGTATGGCCCACAGAGGACAATGTAATAGAAACCTTGCAAAGTGAAATACAGCTGATTTGTAAACTGAGTGAAAGTCCTCTTGTTTAAATTATGGAGCTAGTTTCACAAAACCATGTTAAACTCAGGTTCTCACACTACATTTGTTTCATTAACCAAACACATAAGCCCAAATCAACATACTATAATATGCTCTGAGATATATATATGTATCATTCATAGATAGATAGATAGATAGATAGATAGATAGATAGATAGATAGATAGATGGATGGATGGATGGATGGATGGATGGATGGATGGACGGACGGACGGACGGACACACCACTCACTCACTCACTCACTCGTGGCCAAAATTGTGGAAACCTTTTGGGAAAAGTGTATTTGATGGCTAATAACACCACTTTTTTTTCTTTTTTTTTTTTGGACTTTCATGCTAAAGGTAACCCAACTAAGTATTAACTGACATGGTGATAATTTTTCTACGTGTTTCATTTTTCTTCTTTAGACTGTAACTGCTATTCTAATAGCAAATCCTTCATAAAAGTTATTGCATTACATTCTTGATTAAATTACCTTTCCATTGATATATAATTTTATGGAACTATTCAAAAAAAAAAAAAGTGGTGTTACTAGCTAGTTTTAGAAAATACACTTTTCCAAAAAGGTTCCACAATTTGATCACCTAGGAAAAATGAGATATATGAAAATGATCACCATGTCAGTTAATACTTAGTTCGGTAACCTTTACCATGAATTACCACCTTACAATGTCTTCCCATGGAGTGAACCAAGCCTTTTAATTCTGTAGCTGTTATAATGTGAAACCAAGATTGAATGATGGCTTCTATTAACTGGGTTTTATTGCTGGGTCGCTTCTGATTAACAAGTTTCTTTAGTCAGCTCCATAGATTTTCAATTGGGTGAAGGTCTGGGCTATTCCCAGGGCCATTCCAGCAGTGGAATAGGATTATCTTGAAACTCCTCCCCCCAAAAAGTGATTTTATTAGCCATCAAACCTCAAAAATACACTTTTCCCAAAAAGTTTCCACAATTTTGGCCACTACTGTATATACATATACACACACGCACACCATAATATTCTTTGACTGGACTCACGACTGAATGAATCACAAATTATTCAGCTCCCTTTTATCTTAATGTGTTGCGTGAATCCATCCGGGGATTTCCCCCATAGTGCGGGAAGAAGGAAGGGAGAAAAGAGATCATATCCTAGCACTCATGTGGTCCCCATTGAGGATGAAAATGGAGGCGGTGCACAAAAGAAGAGCAGGAGCTCTTCTCCGTGATTGGGGGAAAAAAAAGAAGAAGAAAAGAAAATCACCCTACACACAAAACACATATTTGGAAATGGACACAATTCGCCAAATCCAATTTCTTTTGTTTAGTCTTTTGCTGGAGATCCTGACCTAGAGTCGGGAGCAAAGTTGGGGGGAA